AACAGAATCCTGGCTACACTCTTTCTAGGAAAAAATTCCAAGAACCTATCTCCAAACAGGGGCTTTCTCAAAGAAGGCAGAGGGATGGCTCACAGGAGTATGACATGCTCCTCGTGACTTATCCCAAGGATAAGGACATTGAGGCAGTGATGACACATCAGCTCCCATAGGTGTGCATGCAATGTCAGCCAGACTGGACACAACCTGCATCTCGGGGGATCCTGGCAGATAGGCCCCATCCACTGCCACAGCCACATTATCCAGTTCAGTCTCCAAGAAAAGCAGAACAGAGATTTCTCCAAAAAAGTGTGCAGAGAACTTTGATACAACGCCGCATCTATCCCAATTCCAAAACACATCCACCTACATTCATGGCAGCTCAGATGGCCAAAACATAAACTGCACAAATGTACAAGAGATGACGGGGAAAAGCCATGCGACATAGACACAGTGAAACTCCAAAGAGCCATAAGAATGCATGGAATCAAGCAAGTTGCTGCATGGTTCCGTATACTGAAGTTAGTCAGGAGGAAAGCGCCAGGTACAGAACAGTCTCTCTCATATGTGGGGTATGGCTACACAGTGAGGCAGCAACCGAGTGCCAAAGGCAGCGGGTTGATAGAGTGAGTTGTCCTGTGGGGCAGGATCCCTGAGAGATGAAAGAGGCAGCTGGCTAGGCGGGGGGGTTGGAATGATGCCCACATTCAACAATCATTGACAGCAATCACAACACCTCAAAATGATAAATTAATAAACTAATAAATTTAGAGAACTGAATGAAAGATCTATAAATTCAATAGCTGTAGATGATATAAAAATTTACAAATTTTTCAGTAACTGTGTTTTGTTATGAGTTGTTAAAACACTTCAAATTTCTTATGACTTAAAACCTAAAAAGGTTTGCTAATTTTAATAATAAGTGTGTCAAATTCATTGACTACCTAAGAGTATTTTCCAAACCAGTTCACTCTTGAGGCATTAATTACTGAACAAGAATTTATTTATGTTTTTGATTCTTATTCATACATGATCCCCCCATGATGAGGCCACTGTAATTTGTGAGGGCCAATCTCTGAGGGTCTCCAGTTCTCAGCAGTCTCTTAATCCCAGACAAAAGCTGCCTTCCCACCCCCACTCCTGTAGAGTGCTCCCCATTGGAGAGCACACTGACACTTGGACAGAGTGTCCCCTTGCCCCCATGATACTTTAACCCCTCCTATTACTCATTTTTTTATTTTCTGACTTTGGGGTCACACATGGTGGTCCTTAGGGCTTACTCCTAGCTACACTCTGGGATCACTTCTGGTGGGCCTTGACACATCCTATGTCATGTGGGTCAGCTGCATGCAAGGCAATGGCCTTAACTCCTGTACTCTCTCCAACCCACATACCTACTTTTCTTTTCTTTTTGTTTTTCTTCCTTTCTTTTTTCTTCTTTTTCTTTTCTCTTTGTTTCCTTTCCTTTCCCTTCCTTCCTGTCTTTCTGTCTTTTTGTCTTGTTTTTGCCATACTGGTAAGCCAGGGCTTACTCCTGGCTCTAAACTCAGGAATCACTCCCGGTGAGCTCCGAGGACCATTTAGGATTCTGGGGACCGAATCCAAAGGGGCCGCTAGCAAGGCAAGCACACTATCTGCTATACTATCACCCAGACTTCTTTTCTTGCTCCCCTCCCCCCTGTTATCTCCTTTCCTGGCATTTTTGCTTCTGTGATCTAGACCCAATGTTTTGCAAACCTTTGCTTCTTACCAATGGCATAATAGTATGGGTAACAGGCCTGAGGGTTCTACCAGGAGACTTTTAGAAAGAATCAACCAGTATGGCAAAGCAATAAGTCACAAATCAGTACACAAAATCACTTGCATTCCTAAATGAAATCGTGAATTTGAAGAGAAAGAGTTAAAAAAAAATACGACTCCTTTCAAAATAGCATTCCACTATGTAGGTCTGAGAAAGAGCAAATTCATGCAATTTGCAGCCACCTGGATGGAAGCAGAGATCATGCTGAGTGAAGGCAGTTGGAGGGAGAGGGACAGTGACAGAACCTCTCTCCTAGGGGGGCCTGAATGACCAAAGACTGAAGGGAGCATCATGGGAGAACTGAACCCACAAAGGTGAGTTGGTGAGGTGTTGGGGGTTGGGAAGGAGGCATTTGGGGGTTCTTGGGGGAGGTGGGTACATTGGCAATGGGTGTGGTGGTGAAATTATGTGCATTAGAAACCCTTATTAACAGCATTGTAAACTACAGAATCTCAGCTGATAAAATTTGGTAATAGTGTCTGAAAACATCAAATTCCTAGTAATCCGCTCAACAAAAGAAGTGAAAGATATTTACTTGGAGAACTAACTGTAAAGTAGTTAGCAGGAAGAGATAGAGAGGGCCTCAGGAAATAGAAAATATTCCACATTCATGGCTTGGAAGAATAACAGTGTCAAAAAAATCAGCCTATCTAAATTCTCCACATTCCATGCAATCTGATTGGAACCCACAGACATTCTTCCAGGACTTAGAACAGTCGCTAATAAAATTCCCACGGAACCATGAAACACTCTGTACAGCCAAGGCCATTCTGAGCAGGAAGGGATTGGGAGCGTTCCAGGCTTCTGACAGCCCTGCCTGACCCAGGACAGTGGTCCTTGGCATGAACAGGGGCATCAGAGGGCAGAATGACCCAAGAGTCCTCTGACCCACTGGTAGCAGCTGAACATGACTCCTAGCTTCAAGATCCTCTTGCTCTACTAGATGGCAAACCCACGACCACCCTTTCTCTGTTCATCTTATCTGCTTTTCCTAGTGATGAATCAACCTGTCAGAAAGAGGATGCGCAATGAAGTTTCTTAGAATTAATGGCCAACATATATCACGTGAGCACAACTCGGACTAGCGTTGGAGGCTCACACTGTTTAACAGCATAACAGAACACCCGTGTCAACACAAGCATAAGGCAGAGACTTTTGTTTTGGGCCTTTATTTTCTTTCATGTTTAGTTTAGGCCCACAGTAGGCAGTGCTCAGTGTTGTGGCCTGGCTCTGTGCTCAGGGGCTGCTGCTCCTGACTGGGATGAAGCAGCGGTGGGAGCAAACCCAGCCTCCTGAATGAAGGTCGGCACTGTCGCTGAGGCGTCGCTGAGACCAGGTCTGGGATTTATAGAATACATATTGGATAGCTCGGGAAAACATATGCAACGTGCTGGTAATATAAGAAAATGTAATCAAATTAGGGCATTTGCCTTACAAGCGGCCAACATGGCCGACCCGAGTTCGATTCCTTCGCCCCTCTCGGAGAGCCCGGCAAGCTACCGAGAGTATCTCGCCCGCACGGCAGAGCCTGGCAAGCTCCCCGTGATGTATTCGATATGCCAAACACAGTAACAACAAGTCTCATGGTGGAGACGTTACTGGACCCACTCGAGCAAATCGATGAACAATGGGAGGACCGCGACCGTGACCATAGAAATACAAATTTTCATAGAATGGATGCAATCAATGGAAAATCGTATCAAGATCTTTTCAAATAATTGCAACTAGGTCCACCATATATGATCCACTGACTGACCTTCAATCCAGGAAAGCAGAGCACTGATTGGAGTATTTTCCTGAGACCTTCCGGCACTGCTCTTTAAAATTGTCAAACGACAGAAGCAAGCTAAGTGCCAGCTGGCGTGAGTTAGCTCAGGGCTCTACCCAGAGGCAGGAAGCCAATTCACAGGAGTTGGAGGTGATTATGCAGGGAAATTAGTCGGGAGGGGAGAGATGATTATGATTGTTTACACTCATAAAGGGAACAGAAATGACCAAAGCAAACAAACAAGAAACTCACTCAGACCCTGCCTACACCATGGTGGTAGGCAGGTGAGGTGGGCAGGCAGGCAGATAGGGAAGGCCCCCTCCCAAAGGCCATTGCAGCAAATTCCTGGGAAGTAAAATTATTGATAGCCCTGAAGTGGCAAACTTCAGGACTATCAATAATTAGATAGCCAACTTTGCTGAAAACAGGAACTGAGGCTTCACCTGGCTCACCTGGCCAGTCACAGACCCAGAGAAGGCCGAACGCCTACGGAGGTGACGGACTTCAGCAGAGATAGGAACTGCAATCAAAGACCTGAAGGAGCATAACAGGAAACTTCAAAGCCGTCCCTTTGTGACAATACCTGATCAAACCTCCACCTCCAGGAGAAAACTCCAGATCAAGGCAACCCCAAGAATAGGCATAAAAGAACCAGCTCCCAAGCCCACTCAAGGCTCCTCCGCCTTTGGGGAAGGCTGCAACCTCCCCTGAGCACTCTACTCTCTCCCACTCTCCCTCCTTCCCCTTCCTCAAAACTGCCAATAGCACAGCGGTAGGTAGGGCGTTTGCCTTGCACGCAGCCAACATGGCCAACCCGAGTTCGATTCCTCCGCCCCTCTCGGAGAGCCCGGCAAGCTACCGAGAGGATCTCGCCCGCACGGCAGAGCCTGGCAAGCTCCCCGTGACGTATTCGATATGCCAGACACAGTAACAACAAAGTCTCCAATGGAGACGTTACTGGGCCCGCTCGAGCAAATCGATGACCAATGGGAGGGCCTTTACCTTTTTTACCTTTTTACTTCACTGCTCATCTACTCCTGAAATTCTTTCCTGCGAGGCGAGATAAGAACCTAGAAACCCTGGGTTCCGGGTGCCAGAGGCATCTCTCTCATCCTTGCCTCGCCTAAGGCTCCTGGGGGTCCACTGCTGCAGTCAGAGGGAGAGCTGCTGGATGGCACTGGAACTCTGGCACCCTGCCCTGGTGTCCTCTGTCACTCCCCAGGTGGAAATGCTGCTCCCGGACCTTGGACCTTGGAGTGTTGTGAGAGGAGGCACGGTGTCAGGGTGTCAGCGCAAGAGGAAACTGAGAACCCCTGAGGAGAAAAGGCCCGCTGGCGGGGCTCAGTCTGTGCACGCAGCCCCCTTTTCTCCTCACCCTGTCCTGTTTATTTCCCAAGCTTCGATGTACTCCATGAACAACCAGGACACAACCACTGAATACGAATCTTTATTATTTCACGGGGAAAAAAATGTCATGACAGGGGAGGCCCTGCTGACTCACAGGTGAAGTCTCCCTTGGCCCTGAGGCAGACCCTCCGCAGGCGAAATGGCCGTGGGATCCGGCGTGTTCAGTACTCGTCAGCAAACGGGTAGTTGGGGTTGCCTATCCCGCTGTGAGGAAGAGAGCACCAGTCAGGGGGTGCAAGCAGGGCTGTGCTGGGAAGGGCCCTCCTGCAGATCCTGGGCAGGGACAAGCCCCCCACGTCAGCCTCCTTCCCACAGCCCAGGGTACACGGCCCCAAGGCCATGGGCCTGACAGCAACCCCAGGGTCTGAGCCAGAGGGCCACGGCCCCAGGCTGAGTCCCTCCTTGGGGTTCACATGGTCCCTGGATAGGAGGAGCCCACAGGGCCGTCTTGCACTACACCCCCCCACACACACACAGAACACCCAGCCCTGCCCCCACAGGCCACTCTTAGGGACTTGGGGGCCCAGACACACTGAACCTGGAACCTCGGGAGGGCCTCAGTTTCTCCCCCTTGGAAATATCCCTTTACTCTTCACTTTGTAGCAGTCTCTCAACTCCATCTCCTTCCACATGTCACTCCCCTAGGGCTGCTCTGCCTGACCCCACAGCCCCCCAGCCCTAAGTGTGTGAGTCAGACAGAGCCCAGCGAGCACCCTGGGGGAGCCGCGGGTTGTGGGTATTGATGTTGTGACCTGCTCCTTTGCTGTCCTGTTGATGGTTTCCAACAGCCTCAGGGCCCTCCACCTCTGTCACATGTCATTGCTAAGAACTAATCTTTGTCTTCTTTGCCCAGACGGGTCCCCCCATTCTTTCCTTACCAGTTGCTGCCTCTAAGACCCCAACCCTAGCGTGAGTCACAAGGAGGGGCGGGTCCTCCTGCACACAGGCAGTGAGTACACAGTAAAGGACTGGGCACTTCACTGTGGCTCCTGGACCCATCCCCCTGCTGCTGCCCACATTCTCCTGGGCTGGACATTGGGTCCATAGTTCCAATGTTGGGCCATTTACTTGATCTGGGAAGGCTTTTAACCCCAACCTGCAAATGAACCAAATGCCCCATTACAATTTTCTCCTTTGCACTCACAAGTCCATTTTGAAATAGCGGAAGTTCCTGTTGAGGCCATCGATGGCTTTCATTTCCTCCGGGGTCAGTTCAAAGTCAAACACCTGCAGGAAGAAGAGAATCTCAGGGAGCGCCCCCCCCCCCCACCCGCCCCGATCCAGGCACAGCTTCTCTTGACACAGGAAACCCCTGCCAATCCCCAGTCCATTTCGGGGAGGGCCCCATCCCAGCTCCCAGGGGTGCTGTATGGATTGTCCCTCTGCCTCAGTGTCCCACCCTCAGGAGACTGACCCCTCTCCTACTGTCTCCTTTTGCAAAAGAAATTTATACTACCTAGCCATTCCCCACATTGTTGTGAATTCAAGTGAAATGCCTTTCTCCCTTAAACAGAGAGAGAGCTGGACCAACTGGGCAGCATGCTGGGGTGGGCCACATTTCTATGGGTCTTTTGCATCTTACACCATCCGTGGAGTTTGAGACTTTCCTTTTTGCAAGAATCGGGAGAGAGAGCACCTGCCTGGACAGTCTCTCTGGACTCATGAGTCCTGGAGAATCACGCCCTGGTCACAGTACCAGTATACCATCCATCTGCCCCCCAACCCCCAACCCTACTCTCTTAGTTGGTGAATGCTCCCTCACCAAGCCACATCTCAGTGTGTTTGCAACGCTTAAGAGTCTACAGCTAGAAAGCTTCTCACTCTGGCCACTGCAACTGTACCTGAAAGTTCTCCTTGATCCTCTTCTCATTGAAGCTCTTGGCCAGCACCACCACCCCCCGCTGCAGCTGGTAGCGCAGGGCCACCTGCCCTGGGCTACGACCATGTTTCTTGGCAATGGCATTCAGGACCGGCTCCTCCAGGAGAAATGGACTGTCTTGGGAGATCCTAAAAATAAAAATTCAAGCATAAGGAGCTGAAGGGGCAGACCTGGGCATTTACAGTCTGCCAGTAACAGTCCTCAGGGCCCCAGGGAGCTGGACTAAGGCAAAGCTGTAAGTGTGACTTGAGGGCAGACTTACATGAAGGGCCTAAAGGAAATGCCCATGACTAGTCAGAGAAAATTATTCCTGAGTACAGCAATCTGGTAAGAACAAATATGACCGTTAATGGTCAAATGGAAAGCAACTGGAGTATGTAAGCCCCAAAGGCACCTAATCAGAAGGAATGAAGAGATCAAAGACCAAAGGCTGAGACTGAACATAAAAGCATCTACTCATTGATGCCTACATCTGAAGTATTTTGAAATACAAACTACCTGGGCTGGAAAATAAATCAGAAAATGGTTGGCTGTAATGGAGTAGAGTTGGCTATCCTGACACACACCCTCCAATATATAATCATTTAATCTCTCATAAGGGAGCAAGAAATATGAAGTGGAGCAAGGATAGCCTCTGTAACAAGTGCCACTGGAATGCCACAGAGATGTCTCCCCACCCCGCGCCAGGCTGATTTTATCCAGGCATCTCGGAGGGGGGCAGGTGTATCCCTCTGCCTGCCCCAAATAAACCCTGGTAGCCACAAACCTCCAGAATCCAATTGCTGCCACGCTGACAGCTGACCTTAACAGACTCGTCCCAAACCCCCCACGCATGAGAATGAATCTGCTGAAAAGCCCAGGTATGCAGAACTAGTGACTAAAACCTCCAGCTGGTACAGAGTTGGGAATGGGCCCCCCTCCCATCTCCCAGTGCTTCTAGTTGCCTGACATTCATTCCCACAAACTGCCTCTGGGTGCCATTTAAGTGCATGAATGGCCAAGATGTGGAGATTCATAAAGGAATCTCAGAAGAGAGCAGCATGCAGCAGAGATGCCTCCAGACCCCAAAATCACCATCCAGTTAAACAATTTAACTCCAGCTCTAGAATCCTATTTAAAATTTTAGAATTCTAGGAATGTGCAGCCACTATTGCAGCCATGTGACATCTCATACTTTATGCCACTGAAATACCAAGCGTAGCACACCACTTTTGGTGGAATATAAGGCAGAAGACAACCGATCTTGATATATAGTAGCACACAAAGGCTCAAACTCTAATAAAATCTTAATGATTTCTTATACAAGGGCTTAATGGGTCCAAGATGATTACAAACATTTTCACACATTTTCTCTAAGGAAATATTTTTGGATCATTTTTAGTCAATTTTTAATAAGCAATACAAAATAAATTATTTAGCATCTACCTGTGTGGCAGGCCTGGATGGTGGTGGGAAGGTGTAGTGATGGTGGGATTGGTGTTGAAATATTGAATGTAATCAATTATTGTGAAAAATTTTATGAAAATAAAAATTTAAAATTATTTTAAAAGTTTAAAAATTCGGGGTTGGAGAGATAGCACAGTGGGTAGGGCATTTGCCTTGCATGCGACCGACACGGGTTTGATTCCCAGCATCCCATATGGTCCCCTGAGCACTGCCAGGAGTAACTCCTGAATGCAGAGCCAGGAGTAACCCCTGTGCATCACCAGGTGTGACCCAAAAAGCAAAAAAAAAGTTTAAAAATTTAAAAAATAATAAAATAAGTGATGCTGGAAAAATTGGACAGCTACACACAAAATAATGGACTCAGACCTCTATCTAACACCTTGTACAAAAATCAGATAAAAATGGATTAAAGATCTTAAGATCAGACTCAAATCCAAGGGGTTCATGGAAGAAAATGTAGGCAAAACCCTTCACGATACTTAAGCTAAAGGTATCTTCAAGCATGAAATGCCACTGACCAAGCAAATCAAAGCAAAGTTAAAAGGAAAAAAAGGGACTACATTAAACTAAGAAGCTTCTGCACCTCAAAAGAAAGGAGACCAAGGTACAAAGACCTGCAGAATGAGAAAGGATATTCACCCAATACCATTTTGATAAGGGGTTAATTCCAAAGATTTACAAGGCACAGGTAGAACTTCACAAGAAAAAAAAAAATCCAATCAAAAAATGGGGGAAAAATGAACAGAAGCTACATCAAAAAAGAAATTTGAAAGACCAAAAGGCACATGAAAAAACACTCTTTATCACTTAATCATCAGGAAAATGTAAATCAAAACAACAATGAGATATTATCTCACACCGCAGAGACTGGCACGCATCCAAAAGAAAAAGAGAACCAGTGCTGGCGTGGAGGTGGGGAAAAAGGACTCTCATTCACTGTTGATGGGAATGCCGACTGGTCCAGCCTTATGGCTGGAAAACAATATAGATATTCCTCAAAAAACAAGAAATTGAGCTTCCATTTGACCCAGCAATACCACTTCTTGGAATATACCCTAGGGCCCTCAAGACACAAAAGAAACACCATCTGCACTCCTATGTTCACTGCAGCACTATTCACCATAGCCAGAATCTGGAAATAACCTGAGTGCCCAAGAACATACGAATGAATAAGGAAACTATGGCATATCTACACAACGAAATACTATGCAGCTGTTAGGAAAAATTAAGTCAGGAAATGTGCTTATATATAAATGGACATCAAGAGTATCATGCTGATGGCTTTCCTATATGCAAATAATACGAGAGAAGAAAGTGACATGAAAAAAGCAATCCCCTTCACAATTATGCCTCAGAAAATCAAGTACCTTGGAATCAGCTTAACTAAGGAGGTATAGGACCTTACAAAGAAAATTACAAAACACTACTTCAAGAAATAAAAGAGGACACGAGGAAATGGAAAGATATTCCCTGCTCACGGATTGGGAGAATTAACATTGTCAAAATGGCAATACTTTCCAAAGCACTGTACAAATTCAATGCGATCCCTATAAAAGGATACCCATGACATTCTTCAAAGAAATGGAGAAAATACTCCTGAAATTCATATGGAACAATAAGCTCCTGAATACCTAAAGCAATTCTTGGGGAAAAGAAGATGGGAGGCATCACCTTCCCAACCTCAAACTCTACTACAAAGTGGTAATAGTTAAAACAACATGGTACTGGAACAAAGGCACCCAGACCAATGGAACAGGGTTGAATATCCTGACATACACCGTCAAATATATGATCATCTAATCTTTAATAAGGGAGCAAGAAATGTGAAGTGAAACAAGGAAATCCTCTTCAACAAGTGGTGCTGGCAAAACTGGACAGCTACATGCAAAAAATGGGCATAGACCTCTATCTAACACCATGCACAAAAGTTAGTCAAAATGGATTAAAGACCTCAACATCAGACCAGAATCCATTGGGTACATTGAAGACAACGTTGGCAAAACCCTCCACGACATTGAAGCTAAAGTTATCTTTAAAGGTGACACACCATTGGCCAACCAAATGCAAACAGAGATAAATAAATGGGACTACCTTAAACTGAGAAGCTTCTGTACCTCAAAAAATAGAGTGACCAGAATACACTGACAATCTACAGAACGGGAAAGGATATTCACCCAATACCCATCTGATAAGGGGTTGATATCAAGGATTTTCAAGGCACTGGTTGAACTCCACAAAAAGAAAGCATCCAACCCCATCAGGAAATGGGGCAATGAAATGAACAGAAACTTTCTCAAAGAAGAAATTGAATGGCAAAAGACACATGAAAAAATGCTCATCATCACTAATCATCAGGGAGATGCAGATCAAAACAACAATGAGATATCATCTCACACCATAGAGATTGGCCCACATCCAAAAGAACAAAAGCAACCGGTGTTGGTGCGGATGTGGGGAGAAAGGGACTCTCCTTCACTGCTTCTTCACGACTGGTTCAGCCCTTTTGGAAAATAGTATGGATGCTTCTCAGAAAATTAGAAATTAGCTCCCATTTGACCCAGCAATACCACTTCTGGGAATATATCCCAGAAAAGCAAAAATGTATAGTAGAAATGACATCTGCACTTATATGTTCATTGCAGTACTGTTTACAATAGCCAGAATCTGGAGAAAACCTGAGTGCCCGAGAACAGATGACTGGTTAAATAAACTTTGGTACATCTACACAATAGAATACTATGCAGCTGTTAGAAAAGATGAAGTCATGAAATTTGCATATAGGTGGATCAACATGAAAAGTATCATGTTAAGTGAAATGAGTCAGAAAGAGGGGGACAGATATAGAAAGATTGTACTCATTTGTGGAATATAAAGTAACAGAATGAGAGATTGACACCCAAGAACAGTAGAGATAAGTACCAGGAGGATTACTCCACAGCTTAGAAGCTGGCCTCATATGCTGGGGGAAAAGGCAGCTCAGATAGAGAAGGAACCACCAAGTAAGGGTGCTAGGAGGGTCCACTCAGAATGGGAGCTGCGGACTGAAAGTAGACTATAGAACGAACATGATGGCCACTTAATACCTCTACTGCAAACCACAACACCCAAAACGGGGGGGGGGGGGGAGAGAGAGAGAGAGAGAGAGAGAGAGAGAGAGAACAAAGGGAATGCCCTGCCACAGAGGTGGGATGGGGGGGGGGGGGCGAGGTGGGGGTGGCGGGAGAGATGCTGGGACCACTGGTATGGAAAATGGGTTCTGGTGGAGGGATGGGTACTTGACCATTGTATGACTGAAATGCAAGCATGAAAGTTTGTAGGTTTGTAACTGTGAATCCCAGTTTGTAGATTTGAACTGTAAAATTTTTATTAATGAATCCCACAGTGATTCATTAATAAAAATTTTTAAAAAAGAGTATCATGCTGAGTGAAGTGAGTCAGAAGGAGAGGGACAAATATAGAATGACTGCATTCATATGCATTCATATATCTTCATAAAACATAAGAAAGAAGACTAATATCCAAGGCCAGGGAAAACAAGGGTTAGGAGGACTAGTAAATGTTTGGAATATACCACAAATATGTGTGGGGCAGTGTGTAGGTTAGACAGAGAAGAGGCCAGTATGACGATAAATAATAGTTGGAAACAATCACACTGGACAAGAGCTGAGTGAAAAAAGTAGGTCAACGTGATATACATGATAACCTTTTAGTATCTGTATTGAAAACTACAATGCACAAAAGGAGAGAGAGAGAGAGAGACAGACAGACAGACAGACAGACAGACAGACAGACAGACGGACGGACGGACAGACGGACAGAGAGACAGAGAGACAGAGAGAAGTGACTGCCATCTGACGTAGAGGCAGGCTGGGGGGTGGGGGTGACAGGAGGGAACCCGGGGACACTGGTGCTGGGAAACATACACTGGGGGAGGGACGGGTGTTGAAACACTGTATGACTGAAACCTAATCATGAACAGCTCTGTAAGGGTCTACCTCATGGTGATTAAATAAAAAAAAAAAAAGAAAAAGAAAATGGTTGTCTTCTGCCTGGGAAAGGCACAGCAGGTCCTGGCTCACCACACATGTGGCCCACACAGCCCACCCACTTGGCAAACAGGGACACTTCAGTGCACATGGGCTGAGGAGAGCAAACACTTCCATAAAAATAACCTTTAAAATCACATTTGAAGGTTCAGCTGGAAGATTTCACCGTAGCTGGTAGATTTCAAACCTTGTAAACCCAAGGTGTCAGGGTCCTTCTAGGAACCACAATTCCTCGCCAAATGGCCCGGCTGGGCCCACAGCGGTAGGGACAGAAATGCGACTATTTGCATTTGGGTTTGGAGCAGACAATTATATACAGCAAAGGATAAGAAAACTCCGGTGAGCACAATAGCCTCACGATGCCGCTTCGGGGTTCAGTAACTATTGAATTAGACATTTATGTTTCAAACATGTCAGAAAACTGTCCCAATTTAATTTACAGGGAACTGTTTCATCAGCAACTGGCAGGGAGGGAGAGAGAGGGCCACTTTGTTACATCACCATAGACTGCTCAGGTATTTATTAATCAATACATTGAGTAATAGAGACCCTTCACACACAGTGCGTGTGAAGTAGAGGACAAGGAGACAGTGTCCGGGGTCCCTCTGCCCTGTGTTACCGCAGTGCATCAATGTGCTGCCTAAGAAAGAACTCACAGACAGGAACTGCGGCATGAAGGGGACAGCAGCGGGGAGCACGCCCGAAGTTTGGAGGTGGAAGTGTTAGTTTCACACAGGGTGTGAACCGTCCGTTCGCCAGACTTGGAGCATCCAGCGGACTCCTAGCAAGGTGTGCGTCTCGCTGGCCCGAGCACAGAGCAGACACGTCCAAGAACCCAACGTCCATTCCCGGCACCTAAGACCCCTAGAACTGTCGGTAGTGCCTGTGTGCCAATAGCAAAATGCCACTCCATATTGCGAATGGTCGGAAGCGTCGCCCTCAGTCAGGGTCTGGCTGTGGGAGCTCATGGCTATGCTGGGCCCTCGCTCCGCAGAGTCAGTCACAGAACATCAGCACTAAGAGCTAATACAGGAAACAGACTCCCTCGTTACCATTTAGGGTCCCTTTGTGACCCCAGGGCACTGTAGGCCACGAGGACGATGTCCCTGGCCCTGCAGAAGTCCAGCAGCTTCTGCTGGTTCAGGTAAGGGTGACACTCCACCTGCAGGACCAAGAACACAGACTCAGACCCTGAGGAAGCTCTCCTGAGTAGATGTACCAAAGTTTATTTAACCAAGCAGACGGGGAGCTTGTTTGGGTACGTCCTTCCCACAGACCCTCTCAAAGGACGGCCAAGGGTACTCGCTGCCATGGGTCCCTCCCAGGGCATGTCCACAGGCCCACACATGCCCACCCGGGAGAGGGATCTGCCCCCATCCGCCCTCTCCGCCCACCCAGGCATCTCTGCAGTAGGACCCCTGGGGACAGTGGGGGCTGGGAGGGAGCAGGGGGCACACAGGCCCACCTGCGGCTCACCTGGTTGCACACTGGTTTGTACTTGAGCCCCGGCTTACTGAGGATCATCTCCAGCAGTTTGCGGTTGAAGTTGGACACGCCGATGGACCTGGTCAGCCCTGCGTCTTTGCAGCTCTCCAGGGCCTGGGGACAGTGCACAAGAAGCCCTGTCGTCTGCCCATGCCCCGTGACCGGAGTACTCCGAGACCATGTCCCCAGGAGCCCCCTTTCCACTGAAGGTCACTGCCGTCAGGGCTGTGTCACTACCCGCACCCTGGCCGTGTCCATGCATGGGACCTATCCCTGGTTTATGGGGCCCACAAGGGGATACTCTGGGCTTATGCGGGGCCAGAACAGAACCAGGCCTTCCCATGCCAGGCCATCCTTGTCTTTGGCCCTCAGGCCTTCTCCTTGCCCTGTGGAGTTTCTGTACCAATGGGCACCAGCGTCAGCCCTAGAGACCAGTGCTCTGGACAGGGGGCGTTTCTGCCCGTGGGTGCAGGGAAAGTTTGAGATGGGCATTCCAGAGACTTCACCCCAAACAACCCCCTCCCTGGGGCCCCAGACTCTGGCCCCCTGTAGTTAGCTGGGGTCCCCTGAGTGAAGGCCCCTACCCCCCTGAGTGTCTGACCCTTTGTTTAGCTGCTGTCCCCACAAAGAGACGCCCCAACACCCCAATAGGATAAAACCCTAGAGGTCATCCCAGCACTGTAGCACAGACAGACACCCCTGCCAGCACTGTGGCACGGACAGACACCCCTGCCCTGGGCTCTGGGACTCAGGCCCTGACCCCTCACTCCCTTGGTGACTGTCTGGTTGTGGGGCCATACTCACCTCCCATGTCTGACACAGATCCACAGTGTCAAGGATTACCTTCTTGCTGGCGTCCATGGGCAGGATGTCCTCCCCTGGCTACGGGACAGAGAGAGGACAGGAGAGATATCTCAGGGCCTTTCGATGCTCAAACATGCTCAAACATGCATAGTGTGTGTGTATGTGTGTGTGTGGTGTATGTGTGTGTGAATGTGTGTGAGTGTTTATGAGTGTATGAGTGTGTGTGTGCTTGAGTGTGTGTGTGACTGTGGTATGTGTGAATGTGTGAGAGTGTGTACGAGTGTATGAGTGTGTGTATATGCTTGAGTGTGTGTATGAATGTGTGTATGCATGAGTGTGTGTATCCGTGTGCATACTGAGTGCATGTGTATTATGTGTATGAGTGCCCAAGAGGTAGTACATGTACATATATGCATCATGTATGTGAATCTGTTGTGTCCCCAAAAGCTATAAGAAGAGGAATGAGGAGTATCTGAGAGCCAGGAGCCAGGATCCATCCCCCAGCGCCCCTGACAGACCCCAACTGCCCTAGGACAGGCTCTTCAGTGGAGGGATCAGACATGAGATTTTGTGTCGGTCACAAGTCCCAATTTGGTGAGCTGGAGACGGTGAGAACAGTCAGTGCATGGCCCTGCTGAGGGCCCTACCCCACCTGAGGGACGTCCCAAGCTGGGCCTCTGTCCTGAGCTATGTCCTGGGGTGCCAGGGGCGGGTGGTCCCCTCCTTGACCAAGCCCAGGTACCTTCAGAGCTATAGGAACGTGAAGGAGAATGAGGTCCACGTAGTCCAGTCCCAGTTTCTTCAAGGACCTTTCCACTCCTTGCCGAACTAATTCCGGTCGGAAGAAAGTGGCCCAAAGCTGCAGAGTAAGAAAGAGAAGAGATGCAACGTAGAATCCTACATCCGGGACCAGATTTAAATGTGCTGTGGAAGATGGCTTTAACTATATTGAGGAAAGTCCCCTCTATCCCCATTTTCCGTGAGGGTTTTCATCATAAACGGGTGCTGGATCTTGTCAAATGCTTTCTCTGCATCTATTGATATGATCATATGATTTTTATCTTTTCTTTTGTTGATATGATGGATTATGTTGATTGATTTCCGAGGGATACTGGGATCCGTGGTGGTGGGAAATGGGCACTGGTGGAGGGATGGGTATTTGATCATTGCATAATTGAAACCCAAGCACAAAAAATTGTAAGTCTACAACTGTACTTCATGGGGGCTGGAGAGATAGCACAGCGGGTAGGGCGTTTGCCTTGCTTGTGGCCGACCCAGGTTCGATTCCCAGCATCCCATATGGTCCCCTGAGCACCTCCAGAAGTAACTCCTGAGTGCAGAGCTGCAGAGCCAGGAGTAACCCCTGTGCATCGCCAGGTGTGACAAAAAAGCAAAAAAAAAAAAATAACCAACCAACCAAACAACAACAACAAAAAACAACTGTACCTCATGGTGTCTCACTAATAAGAATTAAAAAAATAAATAAAAATGAATTGAGGAAATGAACTATTAAAAAAAAATAAATAAATGTGCTGTGGAAAGCGTAAACAAAGCAGGCAACAGAGAGCCCAGAGAACAAAGCCCTCTGCTCTGCTTCTGATAGCCAGCCCTCGAACTAATAACACGTGGTCCACAGAGCACGTGAGTACGAATAGAGGCAAGTGTTCTGGGTGAACAAAACATTCATTTTATGTGTGATGTAGTTAGCTAGTTTGTTGCTAACAAGGCTACTGACAGCCAGACACGGCCGACACTCCCAGCTGACACATCTCCTTATCAATGTGGGGCAAATACTTCAAGCCTTGAACCTCAACCGGCCAATTCAACCGGTGACACTCCAAAATGATTGGTTGGTGGCCCCTTCATTGAGAGGGTCCTGGAAGCTGCTGCCAGACTCGGAGGGAGCCTCTGGATCTTGGACAACGTGCCTAAGATGCAAATGGGCTCTGTCCAACTTGTCTTGGGGATGGAACTGCTGAGGACGTCCGCCCTCTGCCAACCTTGCCTCGGTGACTGAGACCCTGCAGCTACAGACACCTGAGGCACATCACATTAAGAGTGCCTGGCTTTTAACCGTTGCTGGCGCGGATGTGGCGAGAAAGGGACACTCCTTCACTGTTGGTGGGAATGTCCACTGGTTCAGCCCTTCTGGAAAACAGTATGGACGTTCCTCAAAAAATTAGAAATTGAGCTCCCATTTGACCCAGCGATACCACTCCTGGGAATATATCCCAGAGAGGCAAAAACGTGTAGCCGAAGGGACATCTGCACTTGTTTGTTCATTGCAGCACTCTTTACAGTAGCCAGAAACTGGAAGAGACCTGAGTGCCCAAGAACAGATGACTGGTTAAAGAAACTTTGGTACATCTACACAATGGAGTACTATGTGGCTCTTAAAAGAGATGAAATCACGAACTTTACATACAAGTGGTACAATATGGAAAGTATCATGCTAAGCGAAATGAGTCAGAAAGAGAGGGATAGACATAGAAAGATAGCATTCATCTGGGGGATATAAAATAATAAAATATGAGATTAATACCCACAACACCAGGAGAATTACTCCATAACTTAGAGGCCAGCTGGGCATTCTAGGGGAAAGGACAATTCAGATGGAGAGGGGAACGCCAAGTGGAGGGTGTTTGGAGGATCCTCCCAGGAGGGGAGATGCAGGTTGAAAGTAGACTGGACTGAACATGTTCGCCACTCAATGCCTCTTTGGCTGATCACAGCGCCCAGGAGGAGAGAGAGAACAGGGGGGAATGCCCTGCCACAGTGGCAGGGGGGGATGGGGGGATGGGAGGATGGGGGGGAGGGATATTATCCTGGTGGTGGAAAATGGGCACTGGTGGAGGGATGGGTATTTGATCGTGGTATGACCGAGATCCAAGCACAAAATTTGTAAATCTATAACTGTACCTCATGTTGTTTCACTAATAAAAAATAAAAAAAAAAAAAAAAAAAAAGAGTGCCTGGCTTTTGGCTTCTGTCAGCTAGAGGTCAGGATATGATTTGCTCTAGGGATGTTCTCAGTTGAATTTTCTCATATATATGTGTATATATATATATATACATATATATGATTTTATAGTGATGATATTAATTGTGTGAACTATTATTCAATAAAGAGGAAGTGTGTAGGCATGTCTGAGTCTGCTTGTTCTTTCACGCTCATGACTATGTGCCAAGATGAGCCTCCCCCAGTAACACGCTATGTTGGGGTGCCCATGCCCCATAGTTTACCTGCCAGGGCAGCCTAGACCTATTTTCAGCACTTCAAGAACCTCTCCCACATAGGAGGAAACAGACGCTCAAACCAAGACTTACGCACCCACAGCCTGGCCCTGCGTACCTTGGTGGTGTAGAACAAGTCCTCGCGCTTCACGGTGCCATCAGCCATCTTTGCGCGCATCGCCTCCCCCACCTCCTCCTCATTCTGGTACACGTAGGCGGCATCGATGTGCCGGAAGCCAACATCAATGGCCACTTGGGTGGCCTCACGGACTTTGCTCTTTGGAACCTTCAAAATGCAAGTGAGAAGGATGGTTGGCCTCCCGGCTCAGGGGGAGTATTTCCCCAGCTCCTCTCAGGGAATGCCTGAGGCTCCATGTCACATCCTCCCTGAGGCCCTCCAACCTCTACAGCTCCCTCTCCCTGCCCTCACACTCCTTCTCCTGCATTAGGGTGACCCTGAGCCCAGGGAGGGAGCTGGTACCTGGGGCAGCCAGAGTCTCCACCTCCTCAAAGTCCAGCGCAGGCCCATGGGGTCCCCACAAACTCCCCCTCCCACAGGAGAACTGCAGCTGGGGCCAGGCTGGGCTTGGCTGATGCCCCCCAGATTCCTTCTGAGGGATGGTGATGGCCGCCTAGTTGCTTGGACCCCAGAGAGCCAAGGGGTCCTGCTGCTTCTTCCCCAGAAACAGCAGGTGCTTCTGTTCTGAGACCCGCCTCAGCCCTGAGGAGACCTGTCCCACACGTTGGTTTCCCTGACAGGGTATGTGGGGTCCCGGGGTGCTGGGATCCCTGAGAAGGGGAAGGACAGATCACAGACCAGGACATAGTAGTAGGGACTCAGGAGGGGGCGGGTGAAGCCTCACACTGGATGGACTCACAGAGCATGGCCTCCCCACCCCCATCACAAAGCTCCTTCCTCTGAGCATCTCCCCAGGGGCTGTATGCCCATCTCCACAGAGTGCTCTGCACCGAGCCACAGAGGGCACATGCCCTGTGCCAGTTCTCAGCCCACGGTGACTATCAGTAATAGGGACAGAGGGCATCACAGGCAGAGAAAGCGGAGCGGGAGCAAACCAGCTCCATCCCCTGGGCTCCTTGTGGCAGCCTGCCCTTCTCCTGCATTCTTTCCTTACTAGTATTTCTCCTCAGGGTGAGGGAATGAGGGTGTTCCACAGGGGCGGAGCCTTTCTGCATGTGTCCCCTGCAGGCGAACACGCCCTTGGCGGAGACCCGCAAGGGGCCCTGGGCAAGGGATCTATGTGCCAGAGGCAGCCTCAGACCTCCCGCAAACTAGGGGCTGAGTCCTGTCAGCAGCAGGACACAGACAACCCCGTCAGCCCCAGTCCCTGGCACCCCTGAGTGCCAGGAGCCGCTTATGGGCTGGCTCTGACCCTGCCACCGCAGCACTTACCTCTTCGGGAGCGTAGGTGCCAAACCCCAGCACTGGCATGCAGTGCCCGTTATTCAGCTTCACACTCCGAGTGCCCTTGAGGTCCATGCCCAGCTCAGTGCTTCTGCTCCCACAGCCTAGAGCCCAAAGCCAGGAAGTAAGTCTCGGGGTTCTTATTTGCTGCTGACCGATAGGCGGGCCTGGGCACGTGGCCAGATTCCAAAGTGAAACTGGGCCAGGCGCTACAGTTTCTGGGCGTCCCCTGTGTCCACAAGAAGCTGCAGGGACCTCTCAGTCCCCACCTCAGCCCAACACCGGTGGAAGGAGACAGACCCTGTGTGGTCCCTGGTGACAGCCGACCCACGTGGGTGTTTCTCAGTGGTCGCAGCGCAGAGCTTGGCCACTGTCCCGCTGCCTCCTCGGACGCCCACAGACAGTCGGGGCTCACCATGGGCCAAGCCCATGATACCACTCAGCCTGAGCCCGCCCGCACAAATTCGCCCTGGGGCCCACCCGAGCCCCTGCTGCGGAGCCTCGAGCTGGGCTTGGAACCTTTGTGGCAGGGAGGATGGCGCCCTGAGGGGCTCAAAGACCCAGAACCTGCATTGGCCCTGCTCACTCCCGTATCCTTGCAGGGAGCAGCTGGGCCTGGACCCTCTGAGCACTCTTGTCCTCAAGGATGAGCTCTGTCCCCACCAGGCGCCCCTCACGGCCTCTGCATTTCAGGCAGGTCCCCTCCTGTGGCCAGCATAGTGCCCGCATACATCCCCCACAGCAGATGGGTCAGCCCTAAGGACACGGGACCCTCCTATACCAGGACTGCCTCCGTCCTGGGGTACTGAGCATGTTCCCCTGTATTATTGGGGACAGCAATATCTAGAGCCAATCCGGAAGAAAGCTGCTTCCTATCTCGCTCAGCCCCTCCTGTGGCTGATAGTGAGTGCTGGCCGTGTCCAGTGGCTGTGTTAGTGGCCTGGGTACTCTGCACGGAGGGCGGCCGCCTTCACGCCAATGACAGGGAGAGGCAGCACAGGCACCTCTGCTCAGCCTGGCCTGGACTAAGGTCACCCGGGCTCCACTCACATGTGTGTGCTCTTCCTCCCTCCCTCTTCCCAAGCTCTGGACTCTAGCTCCTTGACTGTGAACTCAGTAGCACACTCCCCTGTGACATCCTAGACCAAGGCGCTACAGCCACATGCTGTGCATGTCTATGCTGGCCCCTGCCCCACACCCCCACTGTCTCTCCTCTCTCTCTCTCTCTCTCTCTCTCTCTCTCTCTCTCTCTCTCTCTCTCTCTCTCTCTCTCTCTCTCCCCCCTCTCCCTCTCAGTGGCTCTTGACTTGCCAGGAATCCTGCAGATCTCACGCCATTGGAGCACATTCCCACCCATTGTCTGACACATTTTCTCTGAAGCCACTTTGCCGTCATCACAACCAAGGACCCACTCAGTCAGCATCTACACAGGCTCCAGCCATGTCCAGTTCCATTATTCCGTGCATGTGGTGTTGACTCTACATGTTTCCAGCTGGAACTTGGCCGCACCCATCCAACACTGTGAGCAGAGAACCAGCTGAGGCATGCCAGCTCGAGAACCAGTCCCTGCACCCAAAAGCACTCCTGCACGGAAGGGCGACAAGAAGCAGCACCCAGCCCCAAACACAGGAGACAGTGATGCATGGAGTTCTGGGAGAAAAGGCCGTGGCTGAGCTCACCCAGCCCAGAGTGAGACAGGCACTTCTGCAATGACCTGCATGGGCTCCCACGGTGACTCACACTCACGACCCCCACACACACTCGGCCAGCAGCTCCCACGGGCAAGACACGGGCCCATGGCGCTGTGCGAGGGTTTCTCCATGAGCTCACTGCCCTGCACGGGATGGGAGCGTCCAGGAGGGAAGAGCAGCGTGGGAAAGGGGCCAAGGGGAGAAGGAGGCAGAACAAGCGCAGAGCAGCAGGAGGAGGGCTGGGGCCTGGCCTCCTGAGGAGAGCTGGAGGGGCTTATTTTGGCTGGAGAGAGAATGCAGAGCTAGGGGATGCCAATGGTGTGGTGCCGGCCTGGGAGCCTGGAACTGCCCTGTGTCAACACCAGGGATGTGGCATGGGGCAGAGCTGTGGGGGTCATACAGTTGGCGGTGCCCATTCCACTCTGAGTGGGCTGTGAGAAGGCAAGGAATGTGTGGCCAGGGTGCTGGGGACGGCTGGACAGAGACAAAGATTTGGGCCTCACAGCCCTTCATGTTTTGAATGAGCAGGAGTATCTAAGTGCATCAGTAACAAAAAAAAGGGTTGGGGGCCTCTGCAGGACACCCCAGTACCTAAAAGTGCAGAGAGGAGGGCCGTGTAGGTGGACAGCGCCAGCTGTTTCTCGCAGCCCTTCCCTCTGACCATGCTCCCCTGGGCTCTCTCATCCCCCAGCCTCACGTGATGCGGGCGTGGGGGGCGGGGGGGGGGGGGGGCTGACCCAGGGCCAGTTCAGAATGGAACCGGGGAGGAGAAAATAACAAGCACTCTGAGAACCATCCTGATGCTTGTGGGGTCCAGGGATCCCTCCCCTCAGTAAAGCAGAGAGGGAATAAAGGAGCTTCAGGAAAAAAAACTTCACTGAAGAGAACCTGAAGCTCAGCGGTTCCTTTGTCCTCCCTGACTCACTTCCCACATTTTTCTGCTAACTCACTTTCCCGGAAGCCCTCCAGAAACTCAAACCGGAGCCTGAAGGCAAGATGGCTTTTGGAAGAGAGTTGCTAGCACAAAATTGACCTGCTTTGCCCTCACCTCTCTCCCTCCCTGCCTCCCTCCCTCCCCTCCCTCCCTCCCTCCCTCTCTCCCCCTCCTCTCTCTCCCTCTCTCTCCTCTCTCCCTCTCTCTCCTTCCTCTCTCTCTCCCTCTCTCCCTCTCTCTCCCTCTACCTCTCCCTCCCTCTTCCTCTCCTCCCTCCCTCCCTCCTTCCCTTCCTCTCTCCCTCCCTCTCTCTGAGAAGTATCTGCATTGCAAGCAATAATGCCCAAAAGTAGAGAGCCAGTATGGGGGAAATTTTCTGCCACAGAGGCAGGGGGAGGATGGGGAAGGAGGTGGGTACTGGGGACATTGGTGGTGAAGAATGTGCACTGGTGGAAGGATGGGTGTTTGATCATTGTATGACTGAAACTCAAACATTAAAGCTTTGTAACTGTTTCTCGCAGTAATTATATGCCAGACACAATAACAACGAAGTCTCCAATGGAGACGTTACTGGGCCCCGCTCGAGCAAATCGACGATCAACGGGAGGGCCTTTACCTTTACCTTTACCTTTTTTTAAAAGAAAGTGTGTGAAGATTGTTGTATCTCACCCTGGAGCCATTAAGCTCTTACATAAGAGATTACTAACATGCTGTTACAGGTTAAGCCTATATGTTAACATTTTTAATCAAGATTGGTTGCCTTCTACTTTACACCCCGTCCAATGTGGTGTGATACTCCTGGTATGTCAGTGATGTGGAGTATGAGATATTGCATAGCCATAAAAGTGGCTGGGCGCTCTAGGAACTCTAAAAGTTTGATGGAGTGATACCTCTGGGGTTAAACTTTTAAATGGATGGTGACTTTGGAGTCCAGGGGTATCTCTGCAGCTGATCTCTTTCGAGATTAGTTTATGATTCTCTGGATCATGACTGGTTAATGAGGTTGTTCAGTGCCAGAGGCAGCTCATGGACATGACTGCCAGGCTTCCAGAAGAACAGGGGGATGGGGGGAGATCACCCATCCTCAACTCCATGGAAACTTAGAGATTTTGGTCACAAAACCTGCATACCTGAGTTTTTCAACAGATTCATTCATGGATGAGACTTATCCAAGCCTGTGGAGTCTGGCCTTGAGCATGGCAGCAATTGGGTTCTGGAGGTTTTCAGCTGCCAGGATTCTGCTTGGGGTAGAGGGACTCACCTGCCCCCACTCTGGGGTGCCCCAGATCTGAGGTTCAGCCTAGTGCGGGGTTTGAGGTATCTCTAAATATATATAATATATATATATATATATATATATATATATATATATATATATATATCCTACAAATGCTCTGCACTCAGGAGTTACTCCTGGTGGTGCTCTGTGGACCATATGAGATGCTGGGAATTGAACCCAGGTCTGCCGCATGCAAGACAAATGCCCTACCCACTGTGGTATCGCTCCAGCCCCCCCAAGCCCTCCTTTAAGATTAGCTTGTAGGGGGCCCAGAGACCTAACCAGGGCTGAGAACATGCCTGGCATGTACGAGGCCTGAGTTCAATTTCCAAAGATTCCCCAGCACCCCAGATGTGAAGCTCCCCTGCTCCCCCCCGCCAGAAGAAGCTAATTTATTGTTTTCTGATCTCTTGGGCTGGGGGGCTAGGCTGCAGAGATCAGACTGGCTCTCACACATACAGGCATTTTGCCTCTGAACAACATAGAAGCCCATCCTGATCATTATTTCTTCATCTCTCTTATTTTATCTTTATCAGCTGGCAGTTATAACTCTGGCAGTTAAGAAGTGTTTACATATGTTGGCTGCCCTGGGCCATCAGCTTCCAGCCACTCAGATTTTTTTTTAACGTATGAGAGAGAGGGCTGGAGCTATAGTACAGTGGGTAGGGCATTTGCCTTGCACGTGGCCAACCTGGGTTCAGTTCCTCCACCCCTCTCGGAGAGCCTGGCAAGCCACTGAGAGTATCTTGCCCACACGGCAAAGCCTGGCAAGCTACCCGTGATGTATTTGATATGCCAAAAACAGTATCAAGTCTCACAATGGAGACGTTACTGGTGCCCACTTGAGCAAATCGATGAACAACGGGAGGACAGACAGACAGTGCTAATCCCACAAATGAATGCAGTCATTCTATATCCGTCTCTCTTCTTCTGACTCATTTCACACAGCATGATACTCTCCACGTTCACCCATTTAGAGGCAAATTTCATTACTTCATTTTTCCTAACAGCCGCATAGTATTCCATTGTGTAGATGTGCCATTGTTTCTTTATCCATTTGTCTGTTTAGGGGCACCCAAGTTGTTTCCAGATTCTGACTATTGCGAACAATGCTGCAATGAACATGAGAGCAGATGGTGTTTCTGCTGTCACACCAATTCTTGTCTCTTGAATATTGATCTTTAAGTTTTGAGCTCCTAT